GAGGGGTGGGGGCGGGGCACATGACGAAGCCCCGCCCCCTGCTTCCGGCCGCCCCGCTTCCAGCCCTCATTCAGCCAGGAGGAGGCAGGAGAAGAGGGAGGGTAAGTTGCTTCCTCCCTGCCTCTCCCCACCCCTGCCTGCCTGGGGCCAGGGAGGGCCTTCGCGGGGCTTCCTTGCACTCCCGCCGGCCTTGCAGGTCCAGCGCCGGGCCCCTCATGGGGCTTGGCAGTGGAGCTGCAAGGCTGGCGGCGGCGGCCGGGACCGTTGGGGGCGGGGTGTGTGGCCTTATGACACACTTCCGGTGATGTCAGGGGGTGTGGCCTTATGACACACTTCCGGTGATGTCAGGGAGTGTGGCATATGCTAATGAGTTATGCTAATGAGTTCCCCTAGCTCTTTTTCCACGAAACGACCCCTGCCTGATTGTTTCTATGGGAATCCACATTCCATTTCCTGGATGCATAGAAAAGGGCCTCTGCCAAACAGTCTACACTGCAACAAATGGGTGCTTTTTGATCTTTTGATCTACAAGATCCAGATGGTTTCCTGGAGCAAGCATTTTTGTTGCAGGAATATCACTTCTTACCAGCATTCAAACTGTAATATATTTCTGGGAAAATGCAGTTCTTTCCTATCCAGTGGGGTCATCATTGTTTTGAATGATATGTAAAATGTGGTTGCCTGAATGTCAGTGATACCTACTGTAGAATAGCCATGACATCACCAATGACAGCAATACCTCTCCCAGTATCCCTATATGAAGGGGGTTTGGTTGGGAAACAGAAACTGACTTGTGTCCAGGAATAGTTCTGTAAACTCACCTATCCATTTCACTCCTGACAATAAGTCTGTAGTCTGATCTGAGTTTTATTTCCCTCTGATGCAACTGGCAAGGAGTTTGTTCAGAGGTTCCCCAGGGTTTAATGGGTTTTCCATCCTGTTTTACTTAATACAGCTCTGTTCCACCATCCTGGCATTCAGAACACAATAAAATATTGTATTTGCCTATCCTGCTCTTTCTAAATTATAGTTCTGTGCTATGTAGCCACGACTTGAGCATTGGCTGCTGTAGGCTGTAAGCTTCTTCATTAAAATTTTGCTGGGATCAGAAACAAAAAACTTCAGAATAAATAAATGAAATAGCTATGGCATGACATGATTCTTCATTCGTAAACACAGTGCTTAATTGCAGATAAGGGTGAAGTTCTATAGTGGATGGGGTTGAAAGATTTTTTTAAAAGGCAGAATAGGTACATAAGCATGGTTTATTCCTTCACCATATTGGTATGTTTTAAATATGTGAAAGTAGTTGGCAAATCCCTTGTGGATGAGCAGGAGTTACTTACTCGTATATCATTCTGCACTTAAAAGTTCAGGGATGTTATTCCCATTGTGCACTTCCCCCCTTTAAAAGCGCAGGGCAAACTACTGTGCTTAGTCTCCATTTAAAGCACAGCTCTAATGGCATTTGTGGTGGTGGGGACACACCTGGCTTTACTGAATCACTGTTTTTTTTTGTCTGCAAAAACTACTCAAAAGCCTATCGCTTGTTCAGGCTACTTATCTAGACAGTGCCAAAATTTTCACTTTGGGAATATAAAAAGTGTGGGTTTGAACACGATCTGCCACTAGTGCCACTGCCTCTTTGTCCTGCTCTTCATACTATGGGCCAGAAGTGAAGAGTTACCATTAGCATGACTCTCCCTCATCAAGGCTGCTCCCATTACATGAGGAGTAATTACTTCTGAATAGGAAGTTGGAGGATTATGCAGCAGGGAGGGTAGCTGCTTATCACAGTCAAAGCCACACTATGGGTGCGTTCTGACAGCATGCTGAGAGCGGTTTAAACTGGTCCAGTTCTGACACGATTATTTTTACTCTGGAGAATCGCAATCACATGGGAGCACATGTCAGGTTTTATTTTTTTTTTGTTTTTTTCTCAATTTGTGCATGCACATAACTGTTCATCTGTGGAATTGAAAAACTTTATCCTCACGCATGTGCAGAGCCACTAGGGCAAATCATGGATTTTGCTTGACAGTTCCGCAGAGCACTGTGATTTCACCACTTTGACAGAAGACTTCCCTTTAAACTTTTCACCCTAAACTGACCTCTTTGGGATCCCAAACTCAAAACTAGTGACCGTTTAAATGTTGGTTTTAAAAATGTGGGAGTGGAGCCCCACTTATGCACATACTGCTGACGCACAAAAAAATGGCGGCCGAAAAGCGGAAGCCTCGGGCTTCCGAGTGGGGAGGGGGTTTAAATCATCGGAAGTGGCTTGACACCGGGGGGGCGATCACACAGGGGAAACTGTGGCTTTAAACAGGAGAGCTGAGAAAACACCACTTTGGGACCTGGTAACAAAATACTCCGGGTTAAAGGGGTTTTGAGCTGGAAACCAACGGCTGGGGACAGGGGGCAGATGTTGACTGTGTGATCATGCATATAAAATCCATTGCTGAACTGTCACGACACCAGATCAAACAGCGCATCTGAACGTACCCTATAAGTGCGATTTTAAACTGCCTGGAGTTAGTGGTTGATATAACTCTATTGCATTATGTCAACATTTTCAATAGCGGCATAGTTTTCAGGATAACTAGAGGCATCGTTTTAAGGATAAGAAACTGACAGTGCTTTCCTAAGCAGAGTTGCACCCTTCTAAGTCCCTTTGAGTCAATGGGGTTTTAAAGGGTGTAACGCTGCTTAGAGCAGCCCTGTGGGCCTATGATTGGCTCGTCACAGCATTCTTGACACCCTTTGGTAACTTTCTTGAATGTAATAACCATTGAAGTTGGGTAGTCATGCCCTTCTTCAGTTCTCACTTGTCCTTTTTGTGCTACCCAGTACTGGAACTGATAGTCATCCTGAGCCAAGTGTATCCCTGTCATGTTTCCTTTCTATCTGTTGGATGACAGCCCTGGAGAGTCTGTCCCACAGTGTTAGCAAAGTCATGCCACACTACATTAGCTTGCTAATGACTGTAGAAATGGCTCCTTTGGTCGTCCCCAATGAATCCTCTCTTTGCCTCCTTTCTTGAAATACTTCATCAGCTGTATTTGTTAGATGAACACCTGTACTACCCAGCTGCTTAAGTGGCCAGTAGAATCCTTTTCATCCATCAAAAAGAGATAATAGCCCAAGGCTATCTTATTTTGTTGTAGGTTACTTTATCTGTACAGTTCATAACAATGTTAGATGGTATTTGTAATACAGCAGGATCATGAAGGGTAGCGATGGAAGGATTCAGCACTGATTGTATCTCATCAGTCATCCACATGGAAGACTTACAGGCAGTGAAAGCCGACTTTGTAAGGGGTGGATATGCCTTTTGGGAGGGAGAATGTTTAAATTTTAACTTATTTCTCTTACTTTTTGTAGCTATTTCTGCCTTTCCTATGGGGCTGTGCACATGGCAGTTGTCCAATGAAATTCAGTACCATTCCACTACACCACACTGGCTCAAAATCCTTGAAACAACAAACCTTCTACCTAGATATACAAAGCCAGTACTAGACTTAAACATCAAGACCAAGTGGCTTGAATCCACTGATGAGCAAACGGAAACATAACTGGCTTAGCACACTCCCACTAGCACAAGATCTTGTGCAATGTCTAGTGCTTTCCTCCCTATATTTCAGAGTGCCCAGAAACAGGTGGCACACAGTTTCTTGTGCAAATGGAAAATGGTTCAGGGTATAAAAGTTTCCCTTGCTCGAAAGCTAGTTGAATCTGACTCTAGGGGGCAGTGCTTATCTCTGTTTCCAAGCCAAAGAGCCAGCGTTGTCCGAAGACATTTCCGTGGTCATGTGGCCAGCATGACTAAACACCGAGGCGCATGGAATGCTGTTACCTTCCCACCGAAGCAGTATGTATTTATCTACTTGCAATTTCTTGCTTTCGAATGGCTAGGTTGGCAGGAGCTGGGGCCAGAGATGGGAGCTCAATTCATCACGCAGTACTAGGGAACTGCTGAGCTACAGACCTTCTGGTCTGCAGCTCCAGCGTCTTAACCTCTGAGCCACCGCTGCCTCTGGTTCAGGGTATGCTATATTTAATTTAATTTAATGCAAGAGGCTAGTGAGAGGCTGGTGGGAGGTTTTTATTCCACACTTCTGCTTGCACAAGAACACTAGTGCATGTGGGACTCTTCTGGTAGATCCAAGCCACAGATCCCTTTGACATTCGCCCGCCACTTCAGATTTCCTCAGTGTTTGAGTCAAGGCGATTTAAGTTCACAGCAAAACAGCTTCCAAAAACCTGGGAGAACAGTGGGCTGAAACTGGGCCAGCCACTGAAGGGAGGTAATGTAATGCAGAATGGGGAAAACCCCCCAAAATAAAAAGGTTAAATTTGATTTTGGTGCAGAAAAAATCCTGGAATAAAACCCGGAATAAAAAGAAGGTTGAATTTGATTTTAGTGCAGAATTGCTTAGAGGAAACCGTGGTAAACATGGATTAGAAGGAAAGTGCGGAAAGGACCATAGTCTCCAAGTGTATGTTTTAAAACTGAAAAATGATTTTACCCATCTCTAAATTTAGCCACTTTAGAATTTTCAACACAAGGGTGGAAACAGTTTGTGCAGACACTTGCTTACATGTGAAAGAAAATTTTGTTTTGGCAGTTTCGGGGAATAGGGTATCGTGCCCTAGTTATATAATTTCACATATATACAGATAGCGTTGTAGCTGTGAATGCCAGAAAAGAGATCTTGGTGTCATGGAAAATATATAGTCCTGTGAAAATATCAACTTGACATATGGTGGCACTAAAAAGGAATATAATAATGAAAATGAACATGTATAATCAGAAAAAAATAAAGAAAAAGAATAAACATTTGTAAAACTAACCTGAACTTCAATAGTCATAAAGTCTGTGTGCACATCTCTAAAGTATGCCAAGTAGTACATTTAATGTTTCCATTTTTAAACCCTCTATGTTATTGGAGGGGATCTCTTATAAAAATAATGTCATCCTTAACTCTTTTGTTTTCCAGTTCTGGCATTTTGGAGACTGGGTGGATGTGGTGATAGATGACCGACTGCCATTTCTCAGTGGGAGATACTTGTCAGTCCACCCACGCAGCACAAATGAATTCTGGCCATCTCTACTAGAAAAAGCATATGCCAAGTAAATATACATAGAATTCACCCTTTACCAGCTTCTGTTTTCATAAGCATTACTGTGTGATGGATGTTTTGGAACACCTGTGCTTTTGGGGGATTACGGGCAGTATCATGGCTAACAGCAACCATTGATGGAAAGCTATCTAAATTAAAAGCCATCACCACATACTGTGTCAATGAATTCCATACATTAATTGCAGACTATGGGAGGTAAGTTTTTAGCTTCATTCATTGATCTTGGTTCTACTTTTAGGACAGAAGGAGGAAAAAAATCCTACTCTCCTCACTGCATCCATCATTTTATAAACCTTTATCATGACCCCTACCTAGCCAGCTTACGTATAAAACTCATTATGCCTTTAGTTATTTTAGTTGCCATTGTGTGTACCTGTCTCAGCAATAAGATGTTTTTAGAAGGAATGACCAAGATTGTATGCACTATTATGATGCTTGCTTTGTTTTCAACCTCTTTCTCTGTAATAAAAAAAAAATCTGATTTGCCAGATGGAGATGAGAAACTCCAATTGTTGATAATGATGATAATAATAATAATTTGGGAGATTTCCAGGGTCCACTTGAAGGCTGGCAACCCTACTCCAAAGCCAGAATTTGACCATCCCTGTAATAAAACAGAGAAAGCAACAGCAACAGAAAAACTCAGATAATACCAAGCAGAGCTCAAAATGCTGATTTTGAGACTCTGAAATATGCTTTAGAAAGAGTTGACTCAGGTACCACTTTGCTGAACTGCATTTTCGTTCCAGAAAACGTCAGATTGCTATTACATTAAGATGGCAAGAGATGCTGTTTATGGGATTTTCAGCTGAAGATTTTCCCCAGTGCATACCACACATTCCTTTCCTGACAAACTCAGCTAGGAACATTATTTTAAAATACAATTAGCCATGCATTTCATTTTCTGATTCCGTGCATTGCTCAGATAGAGTACTTAACTGTGGTTTTTAATGGCATGTACTTGTTATCTACAGTAAATTCTTTTTCGTCTTTTTTTTTTTTTTTGCATTTGTGATCAAAACCCTAAGATAAAGAAAGAAGGCTTGAAAGATGCCTTCTGGTTACCAGACATTCTATTATCTGATGAACACTCAATGACCTGAACAAAAATGAGGAAATCTAAGATTAGTGCCTGCATTGTATATAGATTTGTGGTGCTTAATTCCACTCTGTGCTTGTATGCTAATTGCACCACATCTGATCTCTATCAGATCTGCTTCTGACAATGCCAATTTGTTTTTCAATTCAGGAGACTGCAAACTGTCAACTGGGGACATGATTTCAGGTTTCAGAAAATAATGTGGATGTATGAGTGTAAAATTCAGCAGGGGACAAAACCCTGCTCAAGTTCAAGGTTAAATTGGGGAGAGAGAGATTTCCTAAGAACATTTGTTGTGATAATTCTTTAATCTTTATATTTAATAATAAATATAACAATGTCATAACTAGAGGACAGGCTTCATTTTTTAATTTTAGAAGAAAGTGGATTTGTGCCTTTTGTATGCATACAACACACAGAATCTGTGACTTAGCCAGAGATAAAGATTATCTAGAGGCTTATGCTTCATATGTGGCCTAAATTTAGCATAGGAATTGCAGCACTGCACAAGGTGTGGAGATAAGAGTAGGAGGAAGAGATAAGAAAGTCTGTGGAAATCAACCCTTGATTCCAAACCATTACTTTCACTTAAGGGAACCTTAGGAGCTGTCCATAAGGGGCCTTGCCACACTCAACTGCAAACATGCCCACAATCACATGGCAGATGCCTTATATGCCCTGGCATATCTGTGGGTACAACCAGACCACCTGGTGGGGATTTCCGCTCTAACAGCAACACTCATGGGAATCACTGCAAGGTCACTATAGCTGCATCCATGGTTGGGGCAGCACATACACTACAAACTCCATGGTGGTACATTTACAGGTACAGTTAAAATTCATCATGTGGAAGTGATTTGGACTGTGTCCATCATTCCTAAATCACTCATGCAAATAGATAGTTTTAGGAGGGCAGCCCAGCCATAGTAGAAGAGCAAGATTCAAGTCCAGTAGCACCTTAGAGAACAGCAGTCTCTGAAAATCTTGTTGCTACTGGAATCAAATCATGCAAATAGAGTAAGCATTTGTTATTCTCTAAAGAAAATAATTATGTACTAGACTTACATCCTGCTCTTGCAATGGGCCCCCTGTGGTCTCCCATTTGAGCCTTAGAAAATGAGCACAGTCCACCACTAAAAGCCATTTTAGTCTCATGAAGCTAAAACATACGTTTTCCCAATGGGGCAAGTAGTGGTTCCCTTGGACCATTTCAGAGTGAGGAAATTGCATGGGGTAGAAGCTGGTACACCATGGTCGTTCTGAAATGAATCAGGCCTCATGCACACCTGGGAATTTTAATTTCACCTGGGAAATCTGCATGTCTGTTGGCAGTGCCCAGTGTGGTGCCAAGAACAGACCCTCAATGTATTACATAGCCGAGCTGTAGTTTTGTGTCCTAGCCCTGCCTAGCAGTTGCCATCAAGGTATGATGCTTTAGTTGACACAAGTGTAGATGGGATGGTAAAACTGTTCATAGGCAGGTATTTTTTTAGTTTATATTGGGAAAGAAATCACCTGATTGAATTCTCTTGCATATTTAGAAAAAAATGTGTATGCACAAGAAATTAGATTTTGGGGTGGTGGTGGAAATCATAACTACCTTTGTCTCTAAAATGCCTGTTTTGTATATGCAGGGAAATGTTTCAGGGGAAAGCAAACAGCCACATGTTTCTGAACCTGCTGTTTGAAGTCCAGCCAACAGTTTTACCACCTTATCTGCAGTTTGAATGAACTCTCTCCTTTTCTCCTTCCAGACATTCCAAGCAGCCAACTCCCTTTGGCAGCTTCAGCCCAGCCAATAAGGCAACCAGATTTGTATACGCCTGCCTTAAACTGACATTTTAAGTTAAAATATTGCTTTGGAATAGAAATCTCCTCTGCAAAATGGTATCTATCATTCTTGTTCTCCCCAGAGAAAATTAGAAGTGTCAAAACTGACCTTTTCCCTTGTAAAAATCTTACATTTTGATTACAGCTCATTCTCTGATGAGAAGATTTTTCATCAGATAGTTTTTTCAAGCAGGGCCACTCACTTACCATGTTTATGTACTTGCTCACATTGCTGTCTATTCTCTTTGCAGCTCTTTCCTGTGTGCATTGCGATTGGCCAAGCTGCACCCTCTGCCTCAAAGGCCACCTTCATTAGTAAATCAGGGTTGGGATGCTGGGAGAGGGATGTGTTCCCCACATTTGAAATTCAGATGTAAAACCTTACATTGCCTGGAATCTGTACTGCATTTTTATTTAATCTTGATTTATTGTTTTAGTTTATGTTTGGGTATTTCATGCTTGGTTCTTATCTCCCTAGAGTGCCTGTGGCAGATAAGAGGACTAAAAACATTGAGAATGAATAAATGAATGAAATAGTAAATCATGGAAAGTAAAAGTGACGGTCTTCTTTTTATGCTCACATTCACAAGTAATATTTTCCCAGGCAAACCTATCTACCACATTCTTATCCTACCCTTCTGCCATGAAGTTCAAGGCACGACACTTGATTTTTCCCTCTTCCACTTTATACTCAACATAACCCTGTGAGGTATATTAGGCTAAGAGTAAAGTTGCCAACCTGCATGTGGTGGCTGGAGACCCCCCAGAACTACATCTGATATCAAGGTGACAAAGATCAGTTTGTTTGAAAAAATGGCAGCTTTGGAGGGCGCATTAAACAGCATTATACCATGCCAAGACCCCACACATCCACAAATGCCACCTTCCCCAGGACCCCCCCCCCAAAAAAACCCCCCAGCAATTTCCAACCCAGAGCTGGCAACCCTAGCTGAGAGTGACTCGGGGCCAAGGTTACCCAGAAAGCTTGAGCATGGTTGAATGGGAATTCAAACCAAGCTTATCTTCATAAGAACGTAAGAGAAGCCAATGTTGGATCAGGCCAATGGCCCATCCAGTCCAACACTCTGTCACACAGTGGCCAAAAATACCAGGTGCCATCAGGAGGTCCAGCAGTGGGGCCAGGACATTAGAAGCCCTCCCACTGTTGACCCCCCCCAAAGCACCAAGAATACAGAGCATCACCTACCCCAGCCTGTGAGTTCCTATATATACCTTGTGGCCAATAGACACTGATGGACCTCTGCTCCATATGTTTATCCAGTTCCCTCTTGAAGCTGTCCATGCTTGTAGCCGCCACCACCACCACCACCACCTCCACTTCCCTCCCCCTCCCCCTCCCCATCCAATACACCACAGTGGCTCTCAAAGATGGTCCCCTTTGTTGTAGTCTGTTACTGAGACAAATACCATCCTTCTTCTTCCATCCCAGCTGCATGATGTCATTTCCCTTTTCTTCCAGGTTGCGTGGCTCTTATCAGAACTTGCACTGGGGCTACATTTCAGAAGCTTTAGTAGACTTCACAGGTGGAGTCCAAATATCCTTTGACCTTCAAAGGCACTCTTCTTATTTACATGAGATCGTAAAAGCAGCTGTTAAGTCAGGATGCCTGATGGGATGCACCACTCCTGGAGGGGTAAGCTGGAAGCCATTTGTTCTCCTCTTGCATTATTGCAACACATTGGACTAGACTTGTTTTTAAATGGCCAGTCATAACTATGAACAAATTATTTCAAAGTAATGTTGACTGGACTGGGCCATACAAACCACATCATTCCAGTCTTGGCACAATTTGTTTCTGGGCCCAATTCAAAGTGCTAGCATTGATCTTTAATGCCCTATGTGGTTTGGAACCAGGATACTATAAGAACCACATATTCCTGTATTAACCTACCTGACTGTAGCGGTCATCCTCTGAGCCCTTGCTTTGGGGGGCCCTGCTTTCTGAGGCTGGATGATTGGCAACCCAAGAGAAGGCCTTCTCAGTCATGGTAGCAAAATTATGGCACTCCCTTCCCAGGGATACGTGTCTGTTCCTTCTGTCACTGTTTCCAGTCAGAGGGTAAACACTTTGTTTTGTCTGGCATTCCCTCAGTGATCCCTCCTTCCATCTTTATGTTTTCATTCACTGTATTTTGTTTCATGCGTTATTTTTAGCCCTGGTTTTCAGTTGGGTTTATGATATATTTTTAATTGCTAGCTACCTTGGTGGGCCTGGTTGGGCAGAAAGGAGGGATATCTATGTTGTAAATAAATAAATAAATAATTGTTGTTTGGGGAGGGAGTTTTTACAATGCCCTGCACCAACAGCAATCCTCAGTTCTATTCCGGGTGTACAACTAGATTTGAGTCCAGTAGAACCTTAGAGACCAGCAAGAGTTTGGGGGGTATGAGCTTTCAAGAGTCAAAGTTCCCTTTGTCAGATACTACAGGTGCGTGTGACTTTCCTCAGCTTGTGCCAGGTCTTGCCAAGTTGTTGTGACGCCTTTGTGGAGTGGCCTCCCTGAGGCACTGAGGAAAGCACCTTCCCAAGCAGTCTTTAGAACAAGGAACAAAACCATTCTCTTTCACAGAGTGCTGTGTTAAGGTTTTAGCTGCAGATGATCATTTGTTTTTGTCAGTGCTGTGGGCCTCTGTTGAATTTTGGATGATGAATTAATTGGCATGATTTTAATTGAACTGATGCTCTGTACTAGTCATAATTTTGTAAGCCACCTCGGGCCCTTCAAAGGAAGAGCAAGGTAGAAGTAGTTTGATAAAATATATACATAATGAATTGGCTCCTTTGGCTCTCTTCCACTAATTTGGTTCCTGTGACTCTCTTCTGTTAATTCTTTTCCTTCAGTGAAGAAGAGCTTTTCCTGATAGAGAAAGTTCCCCCGGGTGAGGTGCAGGGGGGCGGGGCACATGATGAAGCCCCGCCCCCTGCTTCCAGCCGCCCTGCTTCCAGCCCTCATTCAGCCAGGAGGAGGCAGGAGAAGAGGGAGGGTAAGTTGCTTCCTCCCCACCTCTCCCCACCCCTGCCTGCCTGGGGCCAGGGAGGGCCTTGGCGGGGCTTCCTCGCACTCCCGCTGGCCTTGCAGGTCCACCGCCGGGCCCCTGATGTCAGGGGGTGTGGCATATGCTAATGAGTTATGCTAATGAGTTCCCCTAGCTATTTTTCTACGAAATGACCCCTGGTCATAGGATCCAAACCAATATGAATACGCTTACAACCTGGACCCTGATGTGATATAAAAATGGGCACTGTGCATGGCACAAACATGCTGGCAAACACATGTGCTATACAGGTACATGTGCCAGGAGAGATGTCGGCTCACATCTGCTGAATGTGGAAATGTGAGCAGATATTCATTTGCTATCATGTAATGTTGAAGGCAGCCTTTAGCTTGCAATCCTATGCAGACTTACTCTGCAGTAAGCACCACTGAACTTGGAGGCACTTCCTTCAAAGTAACTATACACAAGGGTCATTTTGTAGAAAAAGAGGTGCAGGAGCTCATTAGCATAACTCATTAGCATAACATTTCATATGCCACACCCTCTGACATCACCAGAAGTGTGTCAGAAGGCAACACCCACCGCTCAGGTTCGACTGGACTGTTTTGAATTGCTAGCTATTGGGGGAGGGGGAACGTGCAGATCTGTCCTCACAGTGGAGGGAAAGCTTGTACCTGAATAAACCTTGGTCTTAAAGGTGCTACTGGACTATTTTGAATTGCTAGCTATGGAGGGGGGACATGCAGATCTGCCCTCATGGAGGAGGGAGAGCTTGTACTGAATAACCCTTGGTCTTAAAGGTGCCACTGGACTGTTTTGGATTGCTAGCTATGGAGGGGGGACATGCAGATTTGTGCAGAAAGAAGGAAAGAGAGAGAGAGAAAGAGAGAGAGAGAAGGAAATGAAGGAAAGAGGGAAAGAAAGGGAAGGAAGAAAGGAAAGAAAGAAAGAGAAGGCAAGAAGGAGGGAAAGGGAAGGCAAGAAGGAGGGAAAGGGAAAGAAGGAAATAAGGAGGGAAAGACGTAAGGAAGGAGAGAAGGAAATGAGGGAAAGAAAGAGAGAAAGAAAAAAGAGAGAGAAAGAAAGTGAGACAGAAAGAGAGACAGAAAGAAAGAGAGACAGAAAGAAAGAAAGAGAGAGAGAGAGAAAGAAAGAGAGAGAGAGAGAGAGAGAAGGAAATAAGGAGGAAAAGAGGGAGAGAAGGAGGGAAAGAGGGAAAGAAAGAGAGAGAGAGAGAAAGAAAGAAGGAAAGAAAGAGAGAAAGAAAGTGCAGTCCGGGAAAGGCGAGGGGGGGTGGGAAGCCTTCCCCAGGGCCCAGCACCTCTGCACAGGCCAGGAAAGGCAGGAGGGGTGCGCAGGGCTTTCCTTGGGGCCCTCTGCAGCTTACCTTGCTTAGTTCTTCTTGTTCCTCGTGACCCGAGTGTGGGCTGCTGGGAGCAGGGGGTGAGGCTTTAGGCATGTGCCTGCCCCCTGGGCTCCTTACTGCCAGAGTGTCGCTCCAGTGGGCTCCAGTAGGAAATGAGCCCTGACTATGCATATTGTAAGACCGCTTTGGTAGGCTTAGGGATGTTTAGGTACAAAAAAGGGTCTTCTGAGGTCCCATCCTCTTTCCACTGTGTCAAAAAAAGTAAACAAAACTCTTCAGTGGAACATCTGATACGGGATGAGGAAATGCAGTTGGAAGAGGAAACTGCATTAACAAAGTCCTAAAATGAGTCCATGTCCATTAGGGTGCAGTTAACATGCTATCAAGGATCAATTCAGTATTTCATCAGCACTGTGACCTAAGCTGAGTCTGTGACAGAGGAGCCCCTATTGCAGCTGCCAATTAGCACAGATCTCCTTTTTGCTTCAGTGGTCCAGGTAATTACCTGTCTTTGAGGATGTGACTGATCCTTAGTGCCAACCCTGCAAACAGCAGGTGGTGGTGGTGGGCTTGAAAGAACAGCCTAGCAGCCATACAGCTTTGTTACAAAAAAAACCCTGTAGATTTTTGCGTTCCATTTTATGGATTCCTGTGATTGAAGGCTGCTATTAAATACATGTCCAAAATTATTATTATTATGTTATTCAGTTTATATTTTCATATTTGTATCCAGTCTTTTTTTCAGGGAGCTCAGGGTAGTGTATACCAGGGTTACTGCGATATTAGTCTCACAGCAACTCTTTAATTAAGGATAGGCTGAAAAAAGGTGATTGGGTGAAGGTCCCCTGTTGAGCCTCATAGCTGAGCAGGACTCAAACACAGGGATCTCCAGTTCAAGTCTAATGCTACAGCCATGGCACTTGAGCACATGCTATACCTATGAACCTCTGTCATCATGATGTGAATAGTTCATATGTGTAGCATGTTCTCTCAGGAATTCTGTCACATGCAAAATTTTGGAATCTGGACTGTCATTCATGGGTATGTAACTGTATGCACTGGCCATACAATAGATACCCAAAGTATATATAACAGATTCAAAATTATTTTTTAAATGAAAGGAGATTATATTCCGGGCCCTCCCCAAATCTGTGTGTGGCTTACACATAATGCACCGTAACATAAACAGTAAGATCCAGTATGTACATCTCATTGTGTGCATTCCCAGAGGAACAGCCTTTCCTCAATAGCAAGAGCATGGAAGTCCTTGTCACCTCATTCCTCCTTCAAGAGATTTACAGTGGAATCCTAAACAGAATTACACCCTTTTTAGCCCATTCACTTCAATGGACTCAGAAGGGTATAACTTCCTAGGATTGCTCTGTTACGCTCTTGAGACCGCAGGAAGGGAGCAGACCCCCAAAAATGACAACCCTAGTGACTCATACTATGAAAAGTTTAACAAAGTATTCCAAAATACAAAAAGGAGGACAAAAAAAAGATTTACCAGGAACAAGATAATTCAAGAAAATCATGACTAAAAATCAGGAAATCAAGAAAAAGGAGCAGTTGGATGTATGCACTTGTGATTCACCAGGCCAAACACGGCATTTGTGGCAACGGCCCACCAGAGCAAGTAAGCATGCATGATGTAGTGCTGGATTAGAATCTGGAAGACCCCGTTCAGATTCCTACTCTACCAGGGAAGCTCACTGGGTGATTTTGAGCCAGACATTCCCCATCTGCTCAGCCTTCCTTGCAGGGCTGGTGTTGTTAGGATAAAATGGATGAGAGAAGATTGATGTTGTAAGTTGCTAACTAACCAACCAACTGAATCAATAGAGGTTCTCAAGCACCCATCCAGTGATTGTACATAGGTACTGGGCTGCGTTTAGCTTGGCATGTCATAAATTGTTCAGGCCTGGTCTAAAGGCATTGCTAAACATATTTGCAATGAGTGAAACTCCATTTTCCCCACTCCAGGTCCAGGCAAGGCAAGTCACACAGGCAGGTATCTAACCATCTGCAAAATTTGCAGAATGGGACATTTTTGTGAACCCCTTCTGGTGTTGTCTACTGAGCGTCCTGACATTTAGTTCTTGGGGGTCTGCATAGAGGGCAAAGGGGGAAGTCGGTGGAAGAAGGACATCACCGCCATGTGCCTTTCTGTTAGAGGAACCGTGTGAATAGATAAGAGGCCATTCTCATTTGTTGGATAACATGTAAATATGCCCAAGTGCTTTCAGAGAAGTTGTGACTGTGCTTTTCCCATTTAGCAGTCAGCAAGTAACACAGAATTGAAGAATGGGATTGTGCTGGGTCATGCATACACTGTGACATGGGCCGCAGAGGTAAGAAAGGGGATGCTTCATCTTTGTCACTCCTTATTGTGTTATTCCCTCAACTTCCTTCCATTTTTCAGCCAGCCTGCTGCTTTCATTCTTTCTCTGTTTTCACAGATTAATTGCTTTTAAAACCAGAAGGAAGTATTATATTGGTCTAATCTGGGCCCCCTGCGTCACAGTGACAACATAATTTCATTTCTCCTCCCTGACATTCAGGGGCTCTGTGGAGAAGTAAAAGGATGATAAAGTTAGCAAGGTGACACAGTTGGCTAGTTGTTTTTAGGTGAAGTACCAAGAATGATGAAGCCCTGAGCCCATAATTAACACTTATTGGTTCGGCCAGTGATGCTGCAGAAGATAGCTTGGTACTAGAAAAAGGGCCTCTGGCAAGTTTTAAGAGACCAAAACAAATTAAACAAATGGAGGCTTTTGTAGGTTCAGTCCCTGGAGTTAATCTAATTCTGAGATATAAACTATCGATGCAAGAGCAAAACTGATCACATTAAATGCAGTGATGGGCTTTAAACATTTAAGTTTCCCTCTCCACATCAGAAGGCATCAAGGGTTTGCTATTACATCACACAGTTATTGAACATAGAATCATAGAATGTTAGAGTTGGAAGGGACCTTGCAGGTCATCTAGTCCAACCCCCTGCACTCTGCAGGAGCATAGCTGAAAGACAGCCCATTTCAACCTAAGTAGTGATTTTTTTTAAGGGGCCAGAAATGAAGGTAGAGACAGTGTCAGGAGAAGGAACACTTCGGCGCCTGCTGAGGTCCATGTCCTGTACAGAGTCCACCACTGACTGGGATATTATTGGCCTGACCATAGTGGAGCAAGTAGAGCCCACTTGGTTGGTTTCTCCAGGCACCCCTCCAACTAGGGAATGGGAGGTTACCCCTAAAGGCAACATGCTCTTCTCGCTCTAGCAAAGCTGCAGTGGGGGCAGAGAATGGAGCCACTACTAGGTATTGGGGAGCAAAAAGAGCTGCATGATGGAGAGGTGAGGAGAGGCTGGGATCGAGGGGCCCCACCATGGAACACTTGTGCCCAGTGGCTTGTAGAAGTAAAAACCAGCTTCCTCTTGAAGGAGCTTCAAGAGGAAGAGGCTGCCACAGAACAAGGAGCAGCACAAGTTGGGACCTGCACAGCAGTCCTCTGGGATAGAGAAAACAGGAGCTGGCAAATAGTTGGGGGCAGAAAGACTCTTTCTGAAAGCATGCTGTCAAGGGTTTGGTAGGCAAAGGATATTTTCGAACCTTAACCAACCACTGGCCCTAAACAGTCCCTCCCTGTCAAAACCAGCAGTTTTTTAAAGCTAAAAATGATGGGTGGAGGGCCAGTGTTCCCTCTAAGCTGAGTTAGTGTGAGCTAGCTCACAGTTTTTTAGCCTCTGGCTCACACATTTTTGTTCTCGCTCAGGGAGGATGGCTCCAGAGCAAACTAATTTATGCAGCAGCCAGATCACCTGCTCACAACTTTAATGCTGGTAGCTAGAGTTCCCAAGTCCGTTTCGCTCCGCGGCGGGGGGCTCCTGGACGGCGTCTTGAGTGCGCGCGCCGCATGCATGTCAGCCAGAGGTGAAGTGATGACGCCAGGCATGCTGGGGGTGGGGCCACAGCCACCTGAGGGGAAAACATAGAGTTTTCCCCTCAGATGGCTGTGGCCCCGCCCCCAGCGTGCCCGGCGTCATCACGTCACCTCCGGCTGACGTGCACGCCAGGGTGGGGTTCCCCCCGGGGCCCGATTTCGCGGCAGCGAAAATCGGGCCTCCAAAGCGGGGGATTATCCGCCCCCCCGGGGGACTTGGCAGCCCTACTGGTAGCTCACAAACTAGAATTTTTGCTCACAGGACTCCACAGCTTAGAGGGAGCATTGGTGGAGGCCCTGGCCCTCTGATGGGCAGGGAGTTGGATCTCCAACCCCTCTGGGATCATATTGCTGGCCTAAAGTCCGCATAGGGTTGCCAGCTTTTAAAGTGGGCCCTCTATCTGTCCCTTTAACATCTGTTTGATCTGCAGCCACTAACAGGTAATGCTACTTACCTCAATGCCACGAAAAGCCACACAGTCAGCCTCGACTAAAAGAACAGGATATTTTTCTTCTGGCCAGTAGACAACCCGGAGTGTACAGTCCAAAGCAAATGAAAGACTGGAGAGGTCAAAAACCATGGTAGGCTCTGTGTGTCGTTCCCCCCCTCCCCCATCTTGGTAGGCAGTTGTACTCTAACCTCTGAAGTGTGAGGTGGGGAGGGGATTAGCAGGGGGTTTGTCCCATTACTAGTCCATCTCTCTCTAGTGAGTTGCATGGACTCCTGGAACAGTGCCAAAGGGAAGGATGTGTCTTATAATGTGAACTTGTATTGCTTCAGTGCTTGATTAACATCCTCTCCAAAAAGCACTCAGTGGCCCCGGTCACACTAGCGGGAAAAGCCACGGCAGAAGTGCGGCTTTTTAGAGCTGCAGCAAATTGAAGCGCGGCATCGGGATCAGACAGATTCCCCGAGCCGCTTCGCATTTGCTCCCCGGCACGATCACATGCCGAGGGGGAAGCAATGGGTCGAAGGGCGAGGCAGCCCCGCAGTTGTGCGCATGCGCAATGTGGCAGGGCCTCGCATACCGTGGGATATGGGTGCATTGGCGATCACACGCCCGCCCGTGCTGCATGTTTCCTAGTAGGTACTAGTGTTTGCAAGTATCTTTTAAATCCGCGTTTTCGGCCGGAAGGAATGGGTTGGGGCGGGTGCACGACACTTGCCAGATGTTGGCATCTGATTGCACCGGTTTAATCTGCCCTCAACCCATCCATTTTGTGGGGCAAATCCTCCCATGTGACCGGGGCCAGTGTAGGAATGAGCCCTGAATACAGCATAATAATCAGATTGCCTTAGGAGAGGAAGTGGTACTGTTTGGGAGGAAAGGTGACAGAAGAACAGGCTTTAAGCAGCTTGTAGTTCACTACTTTTGTAATGTAAAATTTACAATGGCTAGAATGCTCATTTGCATTGCAAAGGTGTCTTCTCCCCTTTTGCCTCTGCATGAGCAATGATCAGTCATAAAACACATTAATACCTCAAGATGCTCAAAGGCTTGTGCGCAAAAAGCCTCATGTGATGAAAAGTTCACTGTCAAAGACTCAAATGTTCTTTTCCATGATATGAGGCATGATAGAGTTGTACATCCCTTAAAGGATGATAACCTACCATCTTGAAGTGAGTTATGTTGACAGCTACACACAAAAAAGATGTGGCTTACACTTTGTAACCCATGATAGAGCTGCTCCGGCTGCTGATAAGTGGTTTGTATACACTAAAGTGCAAGGTCAAGAGTTCAGCAGTGGATGAAAGAGTCATTTTCTTCACCCTTCAGGCTTATCCTGCCCAAGCATAACCTTTTCCCTTGACCAAAATATTAATACCATCTCATATTGTGGGAAGGGATATCAGTTTGGCAGCCAAGAAATAATACAGCAATCAGAAAGAAAGTGAAGGATTTATTGCAGTCAGTGCATCTAGTTTCAGGCAAGAGTTGAGCTCATCCCTCCCTAATATCAAGAGTGACACAATAGAGGTAGGGATGGGCATGAATGAGCTGACAAACGAAAGTTCAGCACGAATTTTGGTCAGTTTGTGGTTCCCGAAGTGATATTTGTGAACTGAAGAATAGCTATGAACTTCCATGGATTTTGATACAGTTCATGGTGGTTCATGAAGAGCAGAAAGCAAGGGTTTACCCCCACTTTCTGCTCTTCACAAAAAACAGCTGTTTGATTTAAATGGCTTGGAGCCATTTAAACCGCTGCTTTCTGTGCGCTGCCATTTTTCACAGGAAACAGAAAGGAGGGGTTTCCAAATGGCTCAGCAGTGGTCCCTGCTGCTCAGCTTTTTGGAAACCCCTGCTTTCTGCTCCCTGCAGAAAGGGGGTGGTGGTTAAACTTTAAATGACTCACAAACTGGTACGAACCGGTTCAGTTCGTGGACCAGCGTATTGGTTCGTAGTTTGGTTTGTGGTTCGTGCCCTCCCTAAACAGAGGCCCCAGCAGGCAATGACCTTCACTAATCCTAGTGCCAATCCTGTGCACACGTTCATGGGAGTAACCCATTGGGATTTATGGCCAAGCAGACAAGCTAAGGATTGCTCCCTGTATGGCATCATTTCCCTTTGGCAGCACTTGTCCTTCTGGGAGACAACAGTCGAAACCTAAACAGAGTTATACCCTTCTAAGCTATAGAAGTTACTGGGCTTCAAAAGCTGTAACTGTTTAGGATTGCACATAAAACACTTTCTAAAGGAGGGGAGGGCTCTGCAAAATGAATACCTCTTGACATCAGGACTGAAAGTTATGTTTCGCAGTGTTTCTTTATGCATTATGGAATACACAGCTTAGGCACAGGGCTCCCATCCTGCATCCTGCATAAAACTCAGATGTGACTTTGCAGGTGCTCCTCAATTCCAGATCACATGGAACATAATTCAAATTGTGGCTGTGGTGCACATGGAGATGAGGCTTCACTCTCCCCCTGTTTCCTGTCCCCCAAAAGTCTAAGGATCACTATTTGGCCAATTGGGGAAACCCACAAGTGTGCAGAGCCCTTTGCAGGTCACAGAGTAGGGACCCTGGACACAATCTGTGTACTCTGTCATGGAATATTTGTCCAGTATTACGCAGAGTTCTCACTTTGATTCTCAACTTCAGTGACCATCATGAGCACATCCATACTTACAGGGCTGCCAGCTTCCAGGTGGGTCCTGGAGTTCTCCTGGAATTAGAACAGATCTCCAGGCTACAGAGATCAGTTCCACAGAGGAAGTGGAACTGATCTCCAGATGGAAGACTCTATTGCATCACATCTCTGCTGAGCTCCTTTCCCTCCCCAAACATTGCCCTCCTCAGCCCCTCCCCTAAATCTCCAGGAATTTCCCAATGCAGAGTTGGTGACCCTAAAATACACGCATACTGAGATATATAGTTGATGGGTCCCAAAGAGCTGTAGTCTGTTGGAGAAAGAACCAATGGACATGAATCAGAGGCTGTGAATGCTCCTTTGCATTTGTAAAGAAAAAGTGATACCACTGCAGAGACATCTACTTGGAAGGGCTAGAATTAAACCAGTCATGTGTAGAATATGAGAATTAAAAAATAGACTCTAGAATTCATACACTATTAGGATTGATCTGTTCTTAATGTTTTTATATGACCCTTGTTATTACAACCATAAAGTTAGGTAACAAACTTTTATAATGCTGCTGCATAAATCATTAACTAGATAGGACAGAATACCAATGACTGTATTGGCTCCAATTATCTGCCCATATTTTTGCTTGACATAAGTACATCTCATGATTCTCTGGGATTACTCTCTAATCAACAGTATCCAAAAGGACTATGAGCTCCAGTCTGTTTCACATGTGAGAATGGAAACAGTTTTCTCTGAGCAATCTGTCTTACTTGCATGGATTTTTAGGGACAAAAGTTTGTGAGCAAGATTGTATACAAACACCATGGGCTGGATCCGGTGGAAAAGCTTGGAGAATGAGTTGGCAGGGCACATCTTTCCTTGCCTTCCCCTTCCTCAAACAGTCCATTGTTGGTCCTGAAAATTCTCTCTGAGGGTCATGAAAGCCTCACAAACAAAATGTATCACAGTATGGAGTGCTGCAGCATTCGGCATTCAGAAAAAAATCACCTCCCTCTTCCACTTGCCACTTACGGGTGATTCGACATCTGGTTTAAATCCACTTTCTCTCTGCTGTGGAGCTGGTTCCATTTGGCTTGGGATATATGCTTGCATCTGCATCACACCCACAGTTCCGTAATGTTTTCTCCGCATTGCCACCCTCAAGACCATCACAATTTGCCTTCATATTACTTCAACACTTCAATAGAAGAGGGGGGACCATCCTATGTGTCCAGCTGAGAGTTTGTGGCCTGAAGGGGAGGCAAGCAGGAGGGTTTCCCCCGCCCCTCAATGCAGGTCCTGTCAAAAGGCATGGGGGGCCACCTGGTGAATGTTTAGAGTATTCATACATAACAAGAGGCAGGGGGAGGAGGAACGTAAAAGAATCCGCATCAAGTTGTCTGCTTATTGTTCACGGTGGATCAGTGGCGGGGAGGAGCAAATGGTCCGGCACAAAACCAAATCCAGAAAACCTTGGAAAATGTCAGGGTGACCTTGGTGTCGGCACTAGATGGCAATAAAACAATGCGGAAGGTCAAAACTGATCCAATGCACAAGGAGACCGGGAGCAGCATGCAATGCAGAGGGAAATTTGTGTTGCGATGAGGGATTGGTGATACAACAGCAGGAAAGACAAATGCAGAATCACCCTGTGACTCTCCCTCTTCGCTACAGCATCCCACATGGCAGTGTATTTTGTTTGTGGGGTTCTCCTGAGCCTCAGAGAGGATGTTCAGAAGAGACAGCAGGCTGTTTGAGAGGTGCACAGAAAGATCCACCCTCTCAGCTCCTTCTGCAAGTTTTTCCACGGGACCAAACACAACATTTCCATGTTTTCAGCTCCTGCAGAAAGAGACACCGTGACAGAAGCAGTGACTACAGGCTGTGTTTGCATGTTGCCAGACTCATAATAGACTTGCTCAGTAGTCTCTTGCAAGGGGTGAGATCATGTAGTCGAAAATTGACAGGGAAGGAAGGAAACTTATTTGCATGTGTAAATTGGCCTTTCAAAGGGAGAAGGGGGAGAGGAAACACATTACTTTTTCTCTAAAGTATGGGAAACCTTGAACATTTTGACCTGAGTTGCTTCCACTCCAAAGTTTTACTCTGCAACCCCCCTTACCTGCAGTGTGTGTGTCTGTGGTTTGGACTATCAATGGCAATCAATAAGTCTATCAGTGGCTACTAGCCGTGCTGACCGAGGGGAACTTCCACATTCAGAGACACTGATCCTCTGAATCCCAGAGCCAGGAGGCGACATCAGGGAGAGACCACTGTGTGAGGCAGGATGCTGGACTAGATGGTCTGTTGGTCTGATCCAGCAGGGTTCTTCTTATGTTCTGCATTACATCATGTACCTTTCAGGTATTCCCTGGCTCCCACTGTACTGTCTGTACTCAAATCATATTATGGATAGGGAGGCTCAAATATCCCGCCTGCCTACCCTCATCCAGTACTATTTTCTCAACATTTCCCCTTATGACCTCCATTTATCTCCCCCCCCCCATTACTGGCAGACCTTTTGATTTGAAACAATTGGTAGTAGGGATATTGCTATAGAATCATTACATTATAGGGATCTGCTGATTTTAAAAAGGTAAAAGCCCGCAAGTGGGGAGGGCAAAGGGGGAAAGGACTGAGAATATTTATGTGTGGAGGCTCTGTTGCCAGCATGAATGCCTCTGCATTTTCAACAGCAATGAGAGCAAAATGGGGAATCATCCCCATGTGAAAACAACCATGGTCTTTTCAGTGTATTTCACTGGGATCCCATGGTTTCATAAAAAGGGGACAAAAACGCACTCATTTTAAGTAAACTACAAAATGCTGTAGAGAGAACTGAATGGTCTTTGTAGGGAAAAAGATAGAGACTGAAGAGATAGCATCTACTTAGTGGCTAGAGAGAGAGGGTCTTGTTAATATCACCCAGCTGGAAATGGAATCCAGAACTGGTTTAATACATTCCAAGGTAATACATATCTAAGTTTTATGGCCCATCTGTCATGGAGATTCTTACATGGCGAGATTTTTCACTACTGGATTTTTATTTAACATTATTTGTAGCCCGCCTTTCTCACTGAAATGCCAGGCAGATTATACAGTCCATACACTCATCAGCACAGGACATCCTATAACAGTGCTATAGGTTTAGGACTGAAGAATTCTGAAACAAAGATGAAACAAAGCCTAAGTATTAACATAACATGTTAAACAATGCAGAGATTACATAGAAGGTAATACATACAGCAACAGATAGTATGCACTGTGCACAGTAGTACACCCCACAGCTTCTTTCCCTTTATTAAAGCATCTTCCTGGATCTGCAAGATCTTATCAGGTGAAACATTATGCTCAGATTTTAAAGGCATGATTGAATTTTCTGTCTCCTGTTCTAAGTTGTTTCAGCACTCTTTCTGTGGGATATAATGGTGGCAATCTTAAGGGTACTTTCCCCATTAAATAACATGAGACTTACTTCTTCATAGGATTGCTCCCTAAAATCCTGAATCATTAACAATGATACTGCTACTATCACTTAGTAATTGCATCAGTGCTCCTCACAGTAGAGTGTACCTGTTGTCATCTCTACGTGTACATATATTTTCTCCAGAATCTGTGTACTAACATATTTTTGGCTATAAGAATTTGAAACTTTTCATCCATGCATGCCACAATAGTGCCCATTAATGATTCTCTGCTTTCTTGGGCAAAGTAATTTCCTTCCTTATGCTTCCTTTCCATACAATGCAGCAGAGATGCGTTGGTTGGCATTCTGAACATACTTAGGCTGCTTCAATGCCATTGCATTGCACAGGACTAACTATGCACAAGACTGCAACTGTTTTTAGCTTCAGGCAGGCAAGGTTAAGAGCTTAAGAGCCAGTTTGGTGTAGTGGTTAAGTGCGTGGACTCTAATCTTGGAGAACCAGGTTTGATTCCCCACTCCTCCACTTGCAGCTGTTGGATGACCAATTGTGTCAGAGCCCCACCTACCTCACAGGATGTCTGTTGTAGGGAGAGGGGAAGGGAAAGGAGCTTGTAAGCCGCTCTGAGACTCCGAGTGAAAGGCGGGGTATAAATCCAACCTCTTCTTGTCTTCTTCTTCTTCTTAAGCAATTTGTTGAAGAATAAAGACAAATTTGTCTGTGTGGCTTTGTTCTCAGCTGAATGTCCTAGACATGCCAGGTTGTGTATTTTTTATAGGTTCCGTACAAGGACAGGAAGGAATGTTTAATCAGAATATGGAATCCTTGGGGCCATGGAGAATGGAGAGGACCTTGGAGTGATGGGTATGATACTAGCTTTCAAGATTTTCTCTGTACGAAAGCTGAAACCTATAGGGTCGTAGTGTGAGAATGGTGAATAGGGTTTTATTCAAAGTCGCACCCATTTCATTTGTTCTGACTCAGCCTAGGTCAGATCTTTCACTCCTGCCTCCCAAACCCAGTATCACAATAGATAATTACCGGGCAGATCAGTCTGGATCAGGATTCTCCAGCAGGTAGCTCATAAACTATAGGTACCGTAGCTTGCTGGCTGCTGCAGAGTAGTTTGTGCATCCCTTTGAAGACCCAGGAAAAGATCCTGCCCTGGGCTTTTTTTTTAAAAGAAAATATTTTATTTCATGGGATTTTCCCCTGTGCTGCTTAGCTGCCTTTCTATAGATCTTCCTAGTCCATGTTCTGTTTCTAGGACAGAAGAAAACTTGCTAACATGCTGGTGTGCATTTGGGGCTGGGGAGTAGTTCAGGATATATGTTTCTTTGCTCAGAAGTAGCTCTCCTTAAAGAAAAGGCTGGAGACCCCTGCTCTACAGTTAAAATTTCTTCTAGACACATTGCTAAAGGCAGAAGAGTGGGACGGTTTTCTGCTTCATTTTAAAAAATATTATTCATTTTGTGAGGACAAGTCTTGTAGACCGTATTAGTTGTGAGAATAAAATGGTCTCTGTTCTCTCCGACTTTTGCCTGAATAATCAAGCGACAGATGTTAAACCAAATGTTGGCAAAGTAATCACGGCAGCCAGAATCCATCGGGTGGCTTTGTGTCTGATCGACCTATGATAATCCAGAATACTTTTATAAAGGCAGAAAAGTTTGATTGGAATAATTGGGCACAGCAATTGCAGCTCCTTTTTCAGTGTGCTCTGTGCAGCATTTTTGAAAAGAGCAAAGGAAACCATTAGCAATCAATGTGCATGTCTGTGAACGGAACATTTTAAAAGAAATTAGGTGTTGTGGGGGTTTTGTTTTTGTTTTGAGGTTCCAGTACTAGAACCAGTCCAGGCACACCATAGTGGGTCCCAGTGCTTACTCTTTGTCTGCCCCTAGACTAGTATTTAGTGCCACAGAAGTGTTGGACTGAGAAGGCAGGGTGCTTGGCAATCGGAGCACCATCAGGTGGTTTCTGAGTGGACCACAGCTGTATTCCTGCCTGAAAGTAGAGCTTGGAAAACAGATACTCCATGATTGAACAGCCAGCATTGGGGGGGGGGGCTGAAAGGGAGAGTTCTTCTGAACTGGATGAGAGAAAAGGGGGCTGTATAGGTATCAGGAAGGCTCTGCTGAGGAAGTCAGCGAGGGGCCTACCACTGGGATAGAGCCATTTGTCTGGTCTGTAATTTGTATTTAATGCATATGGCTCACACCATAAGAAATGGCCTGTCTGAGGAAGACTGGAAGGCTTCCACGGTTCTATCATTCGGCAGATTCTGTAAAACCAAATTGTTAAGGAGGCCATTTTTGGTAAGGGAACAGGGCTGAAGTATAATAGGATGGTCCAGGAAGGTGCTTTATAAAAGGAAAGGGATTGTGGACTATACCACTGTGTATAGGATATATTATCAATTTGCTGTATGTATTCTTCTGCTGTCACTGCATTATTTTCTACTGATACAATACCATTTTTTCTGCATTGTATCTGCATTCAATATCATGTCCTATTCTATGCTTACTTCAGGCTTCTGTAATTTTGGTTCTAGTACATTGCTTATTAGATGTCTCAATGTGTAATCCACCTCAAGTCTCAGTGAGAAAGGCAGACTATAAATAATGTGTGTGTGAATGAAAAAATAGGCTACTTGATACAATGTGGAAATGATAAGAGAAAAGAAGAAAGAAAAGAAGATTTTGTGAGAGCAGGAATTTGTATTGATTCCAAGGGCCTGTTTTGGATACCATGGTTTCTTCTTCTTGTAAAGCAGAACATTCCTTCCTCATACCTCAAAAATATTCACTGGAAACAGTATGAGTACAACCCAGCAAATGAAGTACTTTTTGCCCTATTGGTTTCGTCACACCTCATTCTCCCATTGAAATCAGTAAGAACAAAAAGTGGTTAACTATGGTAGGAATATACTCCATAACAGGGGTCATTTTGTAGAAAAAGAGCTAGGGGGACTCATTAGCATAACTCATTAGCATATGCCACACACCCTGACATCACCGGAAGTGTGTCCTCCCCACAGCCGGCGGCGACCTCCAGCGGGCACCAGCAGGGAGCTCCAGGCCCCGCCCTCCCACACCTCACCCGGGGGGATGGCGTCCCCCCGCGTCCCCCCCCAAATGACCCCTGCTCCATAATTTTGATCTCGCTGTCTGTCTAGAAACTGGGTAACAAATAATTCAGTCAAAATGGCTTGGATCTAATAACTCAGTTATGCTAAGCTTCCCTCCAGTAGATACAGCCTTCCTTCATTCCTTTTTCCGTTGAGGGAAGACTCCTCTCTTAGAGGAATCAAGTCATTTTGACTCCGGCCCTGTGCGTCTGAGAGAAAACTACATAAGGGATCACATAAGGCTGAGACTTGTTTATATGGCCATATTTCTTTCCTCTTGGTACCACAAATATATTGCCTCTGTTGAAAAGCCTCTGGTAGTTAGTGTCTGGCAGGGAATATGATGAGCAACGCAGATATGTCTAAAGCACAGCTAAATGCTATTCTTACTTTCCCCAAAAAAAATTGAAAAAAGAATCCCAGCTGCAATTAAAATTTTGTTGAAGCAAGCTTAAAGGTAAACAACATAGATCAATACAATGATTGATTCACCACGTTCTGTTAATGTTACACAGACAATACAATTATCAGTTCATTATAAAACTACTAGTTGAGAATGTAGCAAGATAGCTAATGCAATGCCTGCAGAAAAGGATTGCTGAGAGATAACATGAGCAATGAGGGCCAAACTAGATGAGATGTTTGAAATCCATGAATGGATTGCCCATTTCTCTAAACTTCTGCAAATATCAGCCATGGAGGGCAATATTTGAATTTTTCCTCTCATCCTGGGCAAATATAATCTCCTGGTGTCCAAATTACATCAAAGAAAGCATCTAGGAAGAAGGGTCTAGGGGTTAGTTCAAATCGAATAAAAAAGCTTTATTAGGCATTTGTTACAAATTACATGATCAGATCACAGAACAGCAAGAAATAACACAAATAAAAAATCATAAAATTTAAAGAAAGAGGAAAAATAAAATTATCCAAAGGTATTCACAATCAATTCTCAGAGCTGCATGACAGCTAGGAGGTACCTAGCTACTTGTTAAGTGATATGATGGTTCTGGTCAGATATAAGGCGTAAAACTAACCACTTGTCAGAGAGGCCTTTACATTTGCATAAACAAGGGCTAATTAAAGAGTTCCTCAACTCAGGCCCCGTTCATACGAGCCCATTTGGGCCGGGAGCGGGACGGAACTGGGGCGGACCAAACAGGCGCGATCTCACCTCAACATCTGGCGAGCGTGCCGTCTCCGTCCCTGATCCGTCCCAACGGCCCATACTGCGCCGCAAAAAACAACCACCTCTCTAGGTGGTTGCATCCATTGGTGCAGCTCAGGCAGGGCTGTGGGATCGGCGGCGCGTCCTTGCGCCGCCGCATCCCGGCCCCCAGCCGTACTGCGCATGCCCGAGCATGCGCAGTTCGGCAGCCTCCCCCCTCCCCTCGGACTTTTCCTCCCCGGCATCTGAGTGTGCCGGGGAGTGCTGCGCCGCGGCTAGGGGATCCGTGGGATCCCGCCGCGGCGTCTCAAGTTTGGAGCGGCTCTGAGTAGCCGCGTTTCAGCCGGCCCGTGTGCCCGGGGCCTCAGTATAAAAATTACAGTGAAGCAAAACATGATCCAGACATGCCTAGGCTGTTGCTTGGAAGTCATAGCCAAGTGGATGAACAGAAACAAGGTGACATTGAATGAAATCAAGACATACGTGATATTAGTTGATAGGCCAGTGTTCTAGAGGAGATAAAATTTGCCTGTTTTAGATGGGGCCAGGTATTGCCGAATTATTGTTTTTAGCCTTACTGTATTCTGTTTTTAAACAGGCCTGGGTGGTTACTCCATGGAGGTCAAGAGCTAGGTATAAATGATGTAGATAACTAAATAGATTATCTGTATCCTTCATGCTGTAAATGGTTTGGTCCTGTTTTACAGTTCGGCAGAGTGGGATCAAGTTCCAGCCAAATATAAGAACTATCTCCATCAGAACAAGAATGATGGTGAATTCTGGTATGATCTGATGTGTTCTTTATGGAATAGATTTAAGACTCCCATGCCTAGAGTTAACTGTTTAGGGTCCTGCTGTACAACCACAAAGCCTTTGTGGACCACAAAGCCTTTTCTAAGAAAAGTACATGGGCTCTTGGCCCTTTTACTTAATTGAATTCTGCAGTTTCACCTTGCCCTTTCTACTATTTAAACTTGTACTGTAATGTAGGGTTATTGCTGGTCTTGCTGGGGTAGGGGAGATCCCTCAAACTTCAGATGCATTCTAGACGCAACCACAGACATAAGCTTAAATTAATTTGAATGAAATGTTTTGTCTTTTACTAGGATATCCTATCAAGATTTCATTGACAACTTTTCCTTCCTGTTTATTTGCAATAATACGCCAACATTCCTGAACTATGGAGAGCACAGCAAGGCAACATGGTCCTTGGATATGCATGTTAGCCAATGGCCCCAAGGATCCTCTGCAAGAGGAACCTCTGGTAATGCTTGAAAGGCTATAAGTACCCCAGACCTCTACTTATATTTTCCCCAAATTCCCAACTAATGTATTGCAAAGCATCAAGCCTTAACTGGGAAATTTAACATTTAAAATATGTGAATAATTTACATTTCCTTTTCCTTCATGGTATTGTAGTTTAATACGCTCCATGTACAGGCGCAATACAAGCAGCAAAGGTTGATGGGTTAGTTTACCAGTTTATTATTCACTTACTTTCATTTATAGTCTGCCTTTCTCACTGGGACTCAAGGCAGATTACAAGCATGATAGAACTATTCGGTCACTCAGTTAACTGATTATGAAAATATGATAATGTTTGTATAACATTTGAATCTAATAGCAAAGCTAGTAAAACAAAGCTAGTCAATCAGCAAGTGGATTATAAAATATGATAATGTAAGTCTAAGCAATAATTCCTGGTAAAACAACCTAACGCAATGGGGCTGGGATTGAAGAATGGAAAGGAAAAAAACATTCCTAATAGAGGGCACCTCTTGAACTGATCCATTATACCATAGCTTTACTTCCTCTACAAGAATGCCCTCCAGAACAATTCTGTTTTGCACATTTTGCAAAATGATAGAAGCCTGGGGCCTTCCTAATAGCCTCAAGCACACTATTTTATAATGGGGAAGTCACCACAGAGAATGCCCATGAAAAGGTAATTGCCTAGTTACCAGTTTGCAGGGATGCACCTTCAGAAAGTTTTGAGCTGATGAGCCCTGGAATATAGCAGGAGAGGGTTATGCAGGTATGTGGGTCCAATGCCGTCACAGATTTTGCAGGTGATCGAACCTTGAACTGAGCCCAGTACCTGATTGGCAACCAATGGAAAATCTGCATAGTGGGAGTGATATGTAGATTTCACTTAGCACCCTATAGTAGCCAGGCCACAATGTTATGTACCAACTGGAGTTTCTGAGGCATCGTTAAAGACAGACCAGTGCAAAGTGCATGACTGTAGTCTAGCCTCAAGGTAACCGTAGCGTGGGTCCATGTGGCTGTTAGCTAATTCACAGTAGGGAGCCAGTTTCAGAGCTAAGTGGAGTTGGTGGAATACTTTTTTGTTTGCAGCTGCATCAGTTTGCTTTTCCAGCAATAAAGCTGAATGGGGTGGCAGCATGCCCATTCTTACCTGTAAGTACCAAGAGGCACCAGTGGAGGCCAAGTGGTACCTCAGTTAGCAGCTTATAAACTACTCATTGAGTAGTCACTACAGAGCGAGGCTGATGATGTCACTGATAGATTATGTCATTGGTTTAGCACCTGCACATTAGTATGGTGCTCCTTTCTTCCAACACTACCTCCGGATACTTACAGAACCGTTGGTGCAGCACAGGAATCTGCATCTGGTAGGGAGGTAAGTCAGACTAAAGTATGCAGAGCTACACCCTTCTAAATCCACCAAAGTCAGTGTGGGTTTACAAGTGTGCAACTCTGCTTAGGATTGTATTATCCTGTTTGTTGGCTTGCTTTTCTCACAGAACCATGCACATGAAAGGAGCAAGTGATCAGAGACAGAATGAGGAGGTTTCATTAAAGCCAGGCTTTTCCTATGGGCTATACATCCCATGTTTGCTTTCAGCCAGCAGCGGGGTAATTTTCACCTATTTCCCCTTCCTATTGCAAACCCTACGCATCACGCCCAAGCACTCCTCCTTGAGATTTCCCTGAACCTTGGGAGTAACATTTCAGGAAGAGGGGTGAGAGTAGCTGTAGTGGGAGGGGGAGATGGGAAAGTTCCATTCTGAAATCAGCATTTAACTTGTGGTTCATTGGATACAGCATATGGATTGCAGTTGTTGCATGTCTGTCAGTAATGATGGTTTTCACAACAGGTGTCTTTTCAAGAAAGGCTCAGTATTCCATCCAGGTGCCAGAGCCTGATCTGAAAACCTATAACATTGTGGTATCACTGATGCAAAAGCCTCCAAATAATACACGCAATTCACAATTACTGCCCATTGGTTTCCTGATATCCACAGTAAGTAACGCCAGGTCTAAGTTTTCATTGAGTTTGCTGTTCTCACCAGTAAAATGTTTGCACATCCCTCTCCTATTTCCTTTCTTCAATTCCCATCCCTTACAAACATAAGAAGGTGTACCATATATATTCAAGATTCAGACATTTATGAGGAAAGGTTGAAGGAGTTGTGTATGTTTAGCCTGGAAAGGAGACAACTGAGAGGTGATATTATAACCATGCTCAAATACTTGAAGGGCTGTCATATAGAGGATAGTACAGAGTTGTTTTCTGTTGCCTCAGAAGGTCGGATCAGAACCAATGGGTTGTAATTAAATCAGTGGAGTTTTCAGCCAGTTTGGTGTAGTGATTAAGTGCGTGGACTCTCATCTGGGAGAACCGGGTTTGATTCCCCTCTCCTCCACTTGCACCTGGCTGGATGACCTTTAGCAACCCGTAGTTCTGATAAGAGCTGTCCTTGAAAAAGAGCAGTTTCTGTCAAGAGCTCTCTCAGCCCCACCTACCTCACAAGGTGTCTGTTGTGGGGAGAGGAAGGGAAAGGAGTTTGTAAGCTGCTCTGAGACACCTTTGGGTAGTGAATGGCGGGGTATAAATCCAATCTCCTCCTCCTCCTCCTCCTCCTCCTCCTCCTAGAGAGGTTCCTCAGTGGAACAGGTTTCCTTGGGAGGTGGTGGGCTCTCCTTTGGAGGTTTTCAAACAGAGGCTAGATGGCCATCTGACAGCAATACTGATTGTTAATTTAGGCAGATCATGAGAGGGAGGGCAGGAAGGGTTGCCTCAGTGCTTAGTTCTTGAGGCCCTTTCTTACATGCCCATGGAAATGCTGATTGCCACTTTGGGGTCAGGAAACAATTTTTCTCCAGGCCAGTTTGGCTGGAGATCCTGGAGGGTTTTTAGTCATCTTCTGGGCATGGAACAGCAGTCACTGGGGGTGTGGAGGTGGAGGTATTTGTGAATTTCCTTCATTGTGCATGGTAGGGCTGCCATTTCCCTGACGGGGGCGGGGGTTTGCCCACTTTCAGGCCCCCAGATCTGCCGGCCTGGATTCAGCTGGTGGGGGAACCCCCAAAGCACCGGGTTTGCGGCAATGTGCCCAGCACAATGACATCACCCAGAGGTGACATCATTGCGCAGGGCACATTGCGGGGGGGGGGGTCAATCATTTAAGGAAAAACCATAGGACTGGGACCCCCGACCCCCACCCCGACATCAAGGTAAGATCTGGCAACCATAGTGCAGGGGGTGGACTAGATTACCCTGGAGGTCCCTTCCAAATCTATGATTCTATGAGAGTTCAGAATATGGTGGGCCCTTTTAACTATGCAGCAGCTTGCTCCACAGAATGGGCTGTAGAGTGAAACGTCAGGAAGGGGGATCTCTGTTGAGGAAAGTTCTAGAAGCAGCCCCAGGTGCCAGCTTCACTTTAAGGAATGCAGAGTATTTGAATGTACCTGCTGGGCTGCGTACAATCTCCCCATGGTTAATCTGGCTGTGGTCTGTGGCTCTTTGATGGTTTGATCCAAGCCATGCCAAAGATGGGCTAGAAGCACATTTTTTAAAAAACCTGGAAAAATCCAAGCAATAGCTCAGCTTCTTTTTAATATGGACTCAATAACTGTTCAGCCCCCCTTCTCATCATCACCCAAACTCATGCTGGTAAGTTAAATTTAAATCAACACCTCATAACTTTTCTGTAATAGACTGAGAAAGTTGTTGAGCAATTTTCTAGCCAATCTGTCAGTTTTAATTCTCTTATTTGAGGGGTGGTGTTGCGTAGTAATTAAAATATTGGACTGCAACCTGTGATGACTGGGTCTGAATCCCTCACTCAACTTGTGACGTGATGACCCAGGTTCAAATCCTAACTCAGCCATGGAAGCCTGCCAGGTGACCTTGGGCCCATGATAATCTTTCAGCCTAACCTACCCTCACAAATTTGCTATGAGGATTAAGTGCAGGAAAGGGGAACAACATGACAAGCTGCTTGGGATCCCCAATCAGGGAGAAAAGTGGGATATAAATAAAAAATAAGCATTTAGTAGCGTTTAAAAAAAATCAGTTGTACAGACACTGGTGCCTTCCTGTGATTTTGCTTCTGCTCTACTGAGGATTAGGTGCAAGACAGCCAGGAAGGAATTTATGTCATGGCTAAGTCCATAGGTCACCAGCTATATTTACATTACAAGTTGAAGCCTCTGTGGTCTGCACTATCAACAGTCTGCTAGGGGAAAGTAACAGCAGCAGAACACAAAACAGTATATAGCCAGTTAACAGTATATAGCCAGATCCAGGTAGTCAAGTGTGTTGGTCTGAAGCAGTAGAACACAGTGGCACCTTTAAGACCAACAAAGGTTTATTCAAGGTATGAGCTTTCGTGTGCACACACACTTTTTCAAATACAGTGGAATGGGATGTAAGGTTCAAACTTACAGACGGCTTGGACAGCAAATTAACATGTAGATAGCCATTTCAGCAGAAGAAAACGAAGACGTGCAAAGGAGAAAGGCAATGTGATGTAGTGGTTAGAGAGGCAGACTGGCAGTGGAAAGACCCAAATGCAAATTCAGGGTTGCCCTGAAACACCCCGTCACAGTAACCTAGTTTAGCTCAACCCCACAGCTCTTTTGTGAGGGGAAAAAAATGAAGGAGTAAATCTTGTATTGCTGAGTTCCTTGGAGAGAAGGTTAGAAATGGAAAAAGAGGGAGCTGATAAAAGAGTTTTGAAAGTAGGGACAGCTGGATCTTAAAGCAGAATTCTTCTGAGGATAGGACACCAGCATTTTCAGGCCCATAACCAAGTCTCCATTCCCAGGGCGACATCTGTCTTGCCATAGAAGCATAGTACTCAAATCTATCTTCACATGGGAGACTGTGATTTTCTGGAAGTAGCAAGAGAGAGTACATTCTAAATATTTACTAAGCTGATATGCAGGGGAGAAAGAAGGTAACTGCCTTTGTTCTGCTGTGTGAATATTAACATCCCTAGTGTTAATGTAATTGTTGACCCAGTAGTCAAATAACATTTTAAACAGCATTCACTGTTTGATTGTTGTCATATATTCATTCAACCCCCAATCTAATATTAGATTAATATTTTGAAAGGCAATATTTTCTGATATTTATATAACAAGCTCTCTTTAAGCTTTTTTTTTTAAATACTTGCCCAAATGGCAAAGTTTATTAGTTTTTAAGAATTACACCAAACAAAACAAAAAAAGAGCAATACCTTTTTAAAATATCTAGACATTGTCTCGCTCACAACATCTTTAGATACATAGTTCCTTTTTCCTCCTTGTTTAACTTCCACAACAAATATCATTAATCAAAATTCTATTCCCAATATATAGTTCATTTTTCTATATCCTATCTGCTATATTTCATTTTATCTATACTACCCTATTATTAGTCAGTTTTATAATCATAAAAATAGAAAAGGAAAGAAACAGGTGTTTCAACAGTTTAACAGTTCTAATTTGGTCACATATTTCTTGTATAACAATAATTTGGTCCCTTTAGTAGTATTTTATATTTTCCTTAGCTTTACAGTGCCAATATATTTTCACCTTACTCTGTGTAACTCCATCTTTTTTCTCACAATAGTAAATTATTACATCTTCTCTAGATTATCAGCCCATTACTATTTTCCCCCCTGCAAAGCCCACTCTAGAAATCAAACTGTCCTATAAGTTTTTCCCCCTCAACCTTCAGTTAAAACATTACAGATATCCCAAACCTGTTGTTTCAAATAGACAAGCCATTATTTTTAACTTTCACCATTCAATTGGAACAATAAAAATAGTCAATATTTATAACTACAGATTATATTCTTAGTCAATCATTTGCAAATGTCAGTATAGGTTCAAAGGAAAAAAAAGAATAAAGATATAGTATGTAGACATATATTTCTTAACATTTAAGGTTCCTCTTTGAATAAAACTTTGTCTCATTGAACAAGGGCCTCTCAACATCAAGATTTAAGTCACTGTGAATAGCTTAAGAAACTCTCATTAGCCTGAAACATAAGAACTAAAGTCTGTGCATGTACTGATTTTACCTCAGAAATTTTATGCCTGATTTCCCCTGACCTTTCCCTTCTGTGTTGAATAAATCATATAAGTTAAAGTTAAAGGGGGCTCTGAGTCCTTCCCTCAGGTTTCTGGGCTGAGCAAGCAGCCAAAATATTATACCGTGGTCCCGGTCACACCAGTGAGATAATCCAGGGCCGAAGCAAGGCTTTTTGCTCTGGAGCAAATTAAAGCGCAGTATCGCGATCAGACGTGTCCCCTGAGGCTCCATGCACATGCCCTCAGCCGCGATCACATGTTGATGGTGAAGCGTGGCAAAGAAGGGTGAGGCGGTTCAGAGTTCAGCAGTACACATTTGTGCGCATGTGCAGTTCCACATTTGCGCGCATACCACCGAGTGCTACGGGATACCAGTGCTTCCGTGATCTGACGCCTGCCTGCACCCCGCATTCTCTGGAAGCTAGTCTGGTATCTTTTAACTCCGCTTCTTCGGCCAGGCGATACGGGTTGCTGACAGGTGCAGGACACTTGCCAGATGTTTTCATGTGATCGCGCCCGTAAAATCCGCCCAGCATTTGTCCCTATTGCGTAGCTAATTCTGCATGTGACCGGACCCTGTGACAAGGTGGGACAGCCAGAATTCTTCAGGAAAGAAGAAAACAGACAACTAGAGTAGCTCAGTCACAAAAGGGAAAGAAAAACGGAGGGGAAATCATGCCTCTGAGGGAGGGAAGAGGACTGGGGCATCGTAACAGTGCTAACACAGAAGACTGTCAGTGAACACTGGGTGGACTTTATTTATTTATTTATTGGATTTATACTCCACCCTCCCCGAAGGCTCAGAAAAGCTAACAGCAGCCCTTGCTGATATACATTCAAACCAGATGTATTTACAATAGTCCCAGCCAAGCAAGGGAGGCCTATATGCAGAATCAGGCTCTGCACACTCATTTAATTGTAACGTGGATCTGGCTA